AGACTAGAACAGCTGAGGACAAGATACTGAACCTTCTGGTGACAAGATAAGCTGCTGAACTGGACAGAACAGAACTCTGGGCCTGGAGCCACTTGTGGCAGTCAGACACGTTTTGTTTGACCTTTACATTCATTCTAAAAATATACATTTATTATATGCAGCTGCTAAGAGTGAAAATATTTTTTCTTTTTAAAATAAAAAAACCAATAAACTAAAATAAGAGATTTCCAGTTAACACACATTTGAAAATAGTCTGTGTCTCTACGTCTGTTTCTTTTGGTTATTTTCTCAACATGCACTTGGCTTTCATAAAATAATTTTGTTGAAGTGAGTCTGGTCTGACGAAGTCGCAGTACTTTTGTCGGCTCTGGGGTTTTCACCACACATTTTCAAAGCTTTTAATAATTGCCAGTAATAGCAGCCAATTTGGATTTCTAATTTTGATTTGAAAACGAAAGGCAGTTCAAAAACTAAATAGAAAACGTGCAGTCATATTTTACTGTGATCTTTTGTAATATTTCTGTTCTGTACTTTCTCCTCAAGGCAACAGTTTGCAGCAGCCTCAGTGCCCCCCTCCCTCCCTCTGACAGACAGCCTAATTCATAGCGCTGGTATTGTTATAATCCCCTGGAGGATGTCTTAGTGTTCTCTTTGCCTTGTTTATTCCACTGACGTTGTCTCCATCCACTGCTAAAAAGAAAGCCTGTTGGTGTTGTTGGATCACTTTATACCTCTGAGGTTTCCCCACTGGGTTTCTGCAGTGTCTCTCAGTGTGAGGAAAAGTGTGGCTGCCTGTTATTCGTCTCTGCCGACGTCCTCCAGGACCCAAATTCCTTGTCATTCAAAGGTATAAAAGTAAACAATACCTCATAAAATTAAATTAAAATTCAGTGCGGGCTTCATTTACAGCTCTCAGGTCTCAGCTATAAAAGTTTGTAAATCAGAATACAGTGGTGTTATTTTTCAAATAAAATGCATAGGTGTTTGAACACCTCAGGATTTGAACACGTTGGTGTTTGTTCACCCTGTACCTAATTTAATCATTTTATTTCTATCTCAGTTGTGCACATTATTAACATTCTTGCCCTCTAAGGTGGTTTTCATTTCTGAACATTTTATCGCTGAGACGACTGATAATTTGAAGAAGGATTTACAGTATATCCAGAGAAAAAAGTAAATTATTAAAATATATTCTGTTGTTTGTGCATAGCTGGGGGAATGTGTGTGTATGCGTGCTCACATACATTTCCCCAAATGCATTCATTTAAAGGAATACATTGACCTTTCGCTAACAGAAGCCTGTGCTGCGTCTGAACAATGGAAAACACTTTACTATGGAATGCAGCTTTACATCATTGTTGACAGCACTGGGCTGCAGAAACTACTGAGCATGGAGTTCATATCACAGCCCACTATTTTCGAATACATCTGTGACCAGAGCCGGGGCTTTAAACATGCACTGAATTACAAGAGCAGTCATGTAATCCAGCTCTGTGCTCTGTCTGCATCAGCTGTGATTGATGTCTCCAACATCTTCAACATCTTATTAATTAAAGCTTAGAAGTGATGAAACCTCAATGGCATTTTGATCAACCTTTTTTTTAAAATTGAAAGTCTCTGTAGAGAAATCTTCACATTAGGTGTCTAGGAAGGTGTGACCATAACGACTCTACACACCCTGACATGTGACTCCTTTGTCAAGTGGACAAGGGAGTGGTCTAGAGAAGTATACCTTACTAGTGTTCCTTCTTACATCAACCAGAAACTGATGAAGTTCCTCAGTTGAAGAACAGAACGCCTTTCAAGCTCCAAGAAAAAGTCCAGTTGCTTTTAACTACAGTCACATTAGGTCTAGATCAGAGATGCTTTGCTTGATCTGACTGGCTGCCACATTTGTAGCAATTTTTTTCAAGTTATATTCGGGGTTATTTTTTGGAAGTGGTTGCTTTGATAAAAACATGAATCTGGAAACTTTTGAAATGTTAAAAATATTTTGGCAAATTTTTCCAAATTGCTGAACAGGTTCAGTCACCGTGGGTGTTAAAAAACCAAAAGGAAATCAGACAGATTCAAATAGCCAAATAAAGTCTTGTCAAGCATCAAAACAATTGATTTTGTATGCCAGTACTTGGTGGAAGTATATGTGGCTGTGTGTATTTATCTGAAGTGTGAAACGTAATATAATACAAGATGGAAGTGCAGATACTGGAAGATAATGCTTACGGTTTGTCATGAGATGCAGAGATACTGCTGCATCACGTCGATAGAACCCGGACACACACACACACACACACACACACACACACACACCATTTCAGATACTGTTCCACAAATGTTAATAAAAAGCGTGCTCTCTGCCTTTACCTCAGACAACACTCTGATCCAGGCTTATCTACAGTACATACAGTATATTTCTCCTGTCTGAGAGAGTTACTTCCAGATGGACACTTATACACTCCCTGGTTCGTTATATCGATCCTTGCTTACACGAGCATTAGCACTCACTTAGGAGGAGAGCAACGTCTTAAACCAAACTCAGTAGCAGAGAGAACATAGAGTCGGAGCAGGCCGTGCTAATGCACAAACGTCTCAAGATCAAAAATATAAAACACAAGCGTCGACTTTTGATTGCTCAGATTCTGCTATGGTGAATTGGAGGGCGCAGCAGCTGATGTGTTCATCCACTGTGCGGTGGTTAAACGAGGTTCACTTCATCCCGTCATAAATCATATTAATAATCCAAGCCATTGATTTAAAAAAACAGTTTCTTGTTATGCGACGTACGTATTATTCGATGTCTTTAGCCTTTGTTTCAGACTTATTGAACTTCCACAGACAGACACACACAGAAAAATAATCAAAACAGTTTTTCTTTTAAGTCTTTATTCTTCTGCATAGAAAAAAAGACGACAGACCGATAAATGGAATAGCATTTTCCCACCCATTTCTATGTTTATACATATGGGTGTTTTTCAGAATCACATCAGTAAGGGTGAGACTTGTAAAAAAAGGTGACTTCTTCAGAGAATGGAGCGGATCTTCCGTGCTCTTCAGGAAAAATGAACCAAAAGCTAAAGCAGGAGCGCCTCCATGTTACTGTGCACAGTCACACAGGCAGGGAAAGACAAAAAAGACAAAGAGAGCTACTGGAAAAAACACTAGGTTTCAACATGTACATGTTCTAGCTAATGACACCTCCCCATCCTCCCATCGACAGCCCCACTCGCCATGTTTCCTTCTCTACTCTCGTCTCGTCCTCTTCTAATCCCCGACTGTTAGCACTCTCCTTTGAAATGGCCCCTCTTTTATTAAGTATATTTGTGGGTCAGTGAAAGGCGGGCAGAGAGCGGGCGTCTCTGGGGTTCTTGTTGTGTGTTCCTGTCAACTTCACAGTGCACTGTTCAGACTGTGACCCTTAAATAAAAGTTTATCTTTGCTGTGCTCAGGTCTTTTTCATCCTTCTGAGTGCAGCAGGCATTTACTCACGTCTGACATTGTTAATGTTGGACCTTATTCTAACCTCGTAGGATTAACTTAATTGATTAAGATATTTAAACATATTTTTTGTAACAATTTCAAATCAAACACAGCAATAACTTCACTAAAGAAGTCACTGAATTCTATAAAAACATTTGCTGGGATGCTGCTCTCTCATTTTCATTTTCTCCTTTTTGCAGTTGGTTAAGATGCTAGCTGCCATTTAAACCCATTAGTAGAAGTAGTGGGTTAGGGTTAGGGGTCTTCCTTATTCTAATTAATTGTAATTGTGTGTTTTTCAAAACGTGGCAGTTGTAAGTGAATGTATTAAATGGTATTTTAAAATTTTGAGCTTGATGTTACTGTGATGACATCCTGTTTGAGTTGATTTGTTGTTACTGTTGTCCAGGTCTGCAGCCACTCTCCTTTTGTTTAGAAACAGCAGATGTTTCCCACTGATGTCCTCTGGAATTCTGACTGTTTTCATTCATTTCCAATTAAAGCAAATGAAAAAATGTAAATGATGAAATAACGCGTGACAATTTGAGCTTCCGAGCTGCAGAAGCTCTCGCTTCCACCAAAGCATTTTATTTACATTTGTATATTAAAAGGGGTGTGTTACAATTATAAACCTTTCTCCTGTGTTTCTGACATTGCAGTGTTGAGAACGCTCACAGAAATACCAGTCATTTTGGATATTTTTTTTCATTATGACAACCCCTGATTTCTCAAACAGTTTTTAACCCAAGCTCTGTATCTTCATTTCTTATCATCCTTCGCTCTTCTGTCTCTGCCTTAAGCCTAATCCCTGTCTATCTGTTCTAAGACGCCACTGTTTCGTGACTTTTTTTAAAAAATATTCTACCCCTCCTTCCCTCCATCTACAACCATCCTATTGGCTCTCCCTCCCATTGTTCTCCCTATGCTGTGGTTTGTTTCCTATGTTTGTCAGGACTGTTATCACTGCTGTCAGCTCCCTTGGTGAGAACAAAGTCATCCTGTGCTAACGGCACCACAAAAGACATGAGAGAAATAAAAGAAAAGAGCCTCATCCAAAAAAAAGAGGCGGAAAGAAAGAAAAACACACCAAAAAAGCAGGGGAGTAAACCAGGGGCTCTGAATGCATCTTTTCATGCCAATCATGATTCATTGTCATCTGTGGGTTATAATAACCATTGATTTCTTCCTCTGCCATCCCTTTATCTACACAGCACAGAGCTTACAGTCAGTAGGAAGATATGAGACCTATCTCTATACACATCAAGTGCCTTTTCCTCATATTATAAATATATCTCCTGCTAAATCATCTAAGCCTAGTATATCAACCTCAAATAAGTTACTGTGTTTTATGAGCAGAGAAGAACAGTAGCTTTCAAAGACACAAGTTATCAAAAGAGAAAACACAAGTCGAGCTGAAAGAAAGTCCTACTGTGGTGTGTAGTATACAGTAGCAGTAGAGTATAGTAGGACTCTTCCTTCTCCCACTCAATAGCAAAGTCCGGTCAACACAAGCAACAGGCTTTTCTACCTAATAAACCAATCAGAATTGAACCAGCAGAGGCACAGAGGGTACTTTGGAAACCATGGACAAAATGGCCACAAGCTCAAGGGTCGTTATATCAACTAACACCCCTGGTATTAGTGGCCTCGGGAGCATGTCCCTGTGTCATCACGTGTAAGCGTAATCTATGTCAGGGATGCCACCATCTCTGTAGCCACGGTTGGTACCATAAGTGACGTGATGGTGGCTGGTTTGGCTGAGGATGGTGCCGTTGAGGCTGCCAGCTACGTGGTTGCTCCGGTAGGTCCCATTGGCTTGGGAGGAAGAGGAAGAGGAAGGGAAAATAGTGTGGATATAGGTGACGTCCTCTAGCTTGGGCTGAAGTGGTTGATGGGTCATAGCTGTCATCTGAAACCCAGGGGGAGGAGCCCTGATTTCTAAAATGGAAGTGTCTTTCTTGGTGCCTGACTCGACATAGTCATCGTAATGTTTTCCACCCCGTCCCCTGTTGTATGAGCCCGAGTCCCCAGACATATAACCTGCCCTTTGTCCATACCAGCAGAAGATGCCAAATATTAACAGCAGGCTTACTAATGCAGTGGCACCCCCAATGATCCCTGCTAAAGGCAGGGCTGTTAGCTCTGAGTCCTGTCCGTCTTTTTCTGACCGGTCTCCGCCTGTGCTAACCTGAGCCTCTCCAGTCTCTATTTTAGCACAGGTAGGAACAGAGTCTTTATTGTCTATGTCCATTCCTATGCCCGAACTGCCTGTTCGAGATGTTCCCATACTGGGCCCTCCAAATGGGTGGTCCTGTCGTAGTGGCAGGAGGCAGATGAGGTAATGTGAGCGTGGGGTGAGCTGGTTAAGGAGGTACTGTGTCCTCTCTCCAGGAACCAAAGTTTCTGTAATTGAACCGAGAGCTGCACTGCTTCCCAGCCTTAGCCAGGACAAGCGAAAGGAGGGTGCTGGCTTTGGGCAGAGCCAACTGACCAGTACACTGTCCGAAGAGAGATGCTTTACAGTCAGCTCCAAAGCCTCTCCAGATACATGTCCTCCTTCACTGGGTGGAAGAGGCATCACAAGATCTGGCCACTTGGCTCGCAGGGTAAAGAGTGAACCTTGTGTAGGGATCAACAAAGAAGGGGTGGTGGTGATACCATGAGGGACGGAAGCCCCTGCTGAGCCCACTCTAACACTGTCCTCTCCTCCACCATCTTTTTCACCTGGGTTTATCCCAAGTCCAGTACTTGGACCAGCAGGGGGGCTTTCGCACTGTTCCATTAGGGAGGTGAGGTCTTTCAAGCTCTGACCCCTTACTGCCTCAGGCCCTTGACAGGTAAGACCTCTGACTGTCACCCCTGACCCCCTGCCATGAAGCCATGCATGAAGCCAGCGAAGGTTGCAGCCACAGTACCAGGGATTGCCTCGTAGAAGTAACATTTCCAGACTCTCTGTGTCTTTCAGGAGGCCTCGAGGGAGACTGGTCAGATTGTTCCCTGACAGGTCCAACTTTTGTAGCCGTCTCATACCATCCAGCGCTCCCCGTGGTATGTGGGTCAAACCGTTGTCTTGCAAATGTAGTCGTATCAGGTGAGCAGTGGGCAGTTTGACAGGAGGTGACTGCAGAGCATTCCTGACCAGTGATAGCTCAGTCAGATTGGAGAGACGTGAAAATGTGTCATCTGCTATGCGTGTGTTAGCCAACAGGTTCCCATCCAGAACTAGGCGTCTCAGTGAGGAGAGACCTCGGAAGGCATGCGTAGGAATAGTGCTTATTCTGTTGTCATCTAGTCGCAACTCTTCCAAGGAGGCTGGCAAACCTGCAGGGATGCTGGACAGATGGTTTCGAGACAGAAAAAGCAATCGAAGCCGTGGAGTTCCAGAAAAAGCTCTGTCCTGGATGCTAACCGTAGATATAGAGTTATCATCCAGGTGTAAGCGTTCTAGTAATGGTAATTTGGCCAATGCTGACCTCGGTAACGTTCGTATGTTATTATCCTGCAAGTGAAGCTCTCGTAATGAGGGCGGGAGGTGTATCGGAAATTCATCTAATTGGTTGGCGTACAGATAAATCACTCGTATAGAATTGCTGCGCTCTAGCGACGGTGGCAACCCAGCATTTGTCAGCCGGTTGCTCTGTAAGTAGAGGATGGCAGCCATTAGTGGTAATGGAGGAATTAAGCTGAGTCCACGGTCGTTGCAGTAGACAAAGCCTTCATCGCAGCGGCACACTGAGGGACAAACAATGCCATCATCTCCCTCGCCTGTCTCCATAGCGATTGCCGCTGCGGCTAGTTCCAGCACCTCAGCCAATAAGGTGAGGCACAGAAGAAGCAGAAAGAGCCAGTCACGGAGCTCGGCCAGACTCTCAGCAGCCATGTTGGAATAAAGTCCTGATTGAAAGAGAAGAAACCAAAAATTAGGTCCAAACCACTACAATAGCTGCAATTCACTGGTCATTCCTAGGTGGAGCAACTCATGGCAGCCGTGGGAAAGTAAATTGCTGTTGGTAAAGGAAGCACAGACTCTGACAAACACAGAGCTGAACAAACACACAGTTACTCCCTTTCTAAAATTGCTTCTCAACTCAAGTGCTTTTCAAACCAGTGTTGAAAGTAAGTTTTATTTCTCAAGTCTGGAAGATTTTTGGGTTGAAAAGTCAGAAGTCATTTTTCACGGCCTGTGAACCCTAATCTGGGCCAGTGTGACCAAGCAGGAGACAAACAGACATTTAGAGGCAGTGGGTGCAATTAGGGGTTGGAGTGAGTGCAGACGACAGACCACATGAAGAGAGACAGACAATTGGACAGAGACTAAATCTGACAGAGAGGCTTACATAAAGTAGAAATAAGTCTCATCTCATGAGAATCTCATCCTGCAAAGATGAGCAGAGTGAGTGACATCAAACTAAAAAGAAGAGGTGGCCTGGAATAAAATCAGGATAATAATGTATGATAATAATAATAATAAAAAATTGAACTTCATTGATCCCACACTTGGGGAATTCTTTTGTTAATTTGTGGTGATTAAACACAGGACTACCCGCTCTCTGCTGCCAAGGCAGGCGTGCTAACTGCTACACTGTGGAACCACGGATTGTGCTTTTGATGATTTTAAAGAAAACAAAGTGACTATATTTCTAGCTGAACCTCCGCTGTTGTGAGACCCTACAACTTTTGTAAAGCACTTAAGGCTTTAAATATGTCGTAATATTACGCATTAATCCATTAGGGTTATAATAAACTGAGTGAAAGTGTATTCACAGGCAGTAAGTAAACACACAGAGCGCCAATCCTTCACACACGGAACAGTCTCAGTACAAGCAGTGCATGTATAATGCATGTCTTCTCTTGGTTGATATTGTTCATGAAATTTCGATAAATTATTCAGGAAAGTGGTCCCAGAACCCCCGGAAATGCTTTAGCGAGATGTTTTACAGCGAAGCATTTTTCTGCAACATTAATATGTTCCTTGGTCTATGTTTTGTGACTTGTCTCCCAGCGAATGTCTGACACCGACATCAATAACATAAATTTACAATTCAGATAAAATGATTTTTGTGCACTCACATTCACTGCACATTATTTATAGAACATGAATAATATACAGTGGTGAAAGTTGTGGAAATTGCATTGTGGCTCACTCTTGTTTGAATCCTATCATTTGTGTAGCCCCAGGCAGGAAAATGTGCCCTGACATGAAATGCCTGACATGATTTGACAGCACATTTGATAAACAAATCCTCTAAAGGCAAGTATTTTTTCCCCCCCGTGCAGGCAGGCGTGTGTGTGTTTGGGGCTATATGTTAACTCTGTGCTGGATGCAAAATTGCCCCTTGGCTGCAGTCAAAATCCATGCAAAGCAGAAAACAGAGATGGCAACAATAGAAGAGAATNGAGAGCAGACAGATGGAGAGTTGGGCAGTCCGTCAGAGGAGGAGAGGGGGAAATGAGTTCCTGGCAATGTAGGCTGAAGTCATATCAGCTGAGTTTGCTCCAAAAAGAAGAATGGTTTCAAAGACTGGTTGGCTGTTATTATTTTTCCTGTGAGATAGGTGTAAAAATAGCTACATTTGTGTACCTGTACATGCTGCTGTGTGCAACTCTGTGTGTGTAAGGAGATCTGTATCAACAGCCACCGGCTCTGCCTCACACAGTATCAGATATGGGACGAACGAGTGTTGTGCAATTTGGCTCTGACCCAGAATATTTCTCTCTGTTCTTATTGCTTTTTTTCTTAATCTTAAATCAGAGTATTTTAAGAATTACCTGCGTTGAAGGGACAGAAAAATGAAGAGGGAGGAACATATGCACACACGAGGGAGTGACATCGTAGGAGCTGAAACCATATTGGGAAATGCTCCGTGAATATCAACCAGCATATGTTCACTGTGCCACACGCTCCCTGGAATCCTTTCATAAATTTCCTTTTGGCACAAAGCTTTATGTGTGTTTTTGCTCACATGCCAGGATTTCCTATTGACACATCGTCTTAATGATTCTGTTTTTTTTTGTTTTTTTGTCATCTCCCCTTCCGAGCTGCTTCCTCTTTTTTCAACTCTCTTCGTTGCTCTCCTTTCTGCACCTATATCTCTCCCAGCCTTATTTCCTGCCATCCACCCACTCTCACCTCTTTACCTTCATAATCTTTTATTATATTCACTCTTGACTCGTTTGCCTATAGAAAGTGTGTGCATGATTCCTGCCTCCTCCTCCTCCTCCTCCTCCTCGGTCTCCATTTCTCCTGTACCTTTACAGTTTTCTCTCAAGCAGTTTGTTGACTCCTACACACTGAGATTGGATCAATCTCAATTCTGACCACATCTCTCTCCTCCTCGTTCCTCTCCCTTCCAGCGTTCTCCCCCACTCCTCCCCGTCTCGGCCTCAGCTTCTCTTACCTCTGCATTCATTTCCTCTCCTCTTTTGTTCCTTTTTGCCATTAGAAAAATTCAATCATTTTCTAAAATTAAAGGCTTTGTTGGACCTGTAGCCTGTGTATTGCTGTGTATTTTAATAGAGTAACAGTAAAAAAAGTAAAATGAAGTGTGACTTTCGTCATTGCTTTGAATGTGTGTGTGTGTGTGTGTGTGTGATTGTGAAGAGCTTGCTAACCTGCTCACTCTTTGTGCCTTTTACGCCCACTGCAGCTTTTATCCTGAATCAAGGATTTCTGAAGAGTGGTATCACTGTGTGTGTGTGATTGAAGATGTCACTGCAGACCTCTGAGACTGTGTGTGTGTGTGTGTGAGTGTGTGTGTGTGTATGTATGTGTGCAAAGCTCCGTCTCCCAGTCTCCTTTGAATCGTTCAGAAGTGCAGACTCGTTCCTCTGGGCTGTTGAATCTCCTTTATCATGCGCAAATGATGATAGGGATGATGATAGCCAATACTCCAGGGCTCCAGTACCAGCATGGCTCAGAGACGCCTCGGCATGTTCATTTGTGTTTGTGTGTCCCGCTGCCAAGATCCCTCTTCTTCTCTGCTTATTTATTTATTTTTTTGGGTAAGGGGCTTTCAGGCCTGCCAACTTAAGTCATCATCTGTGAATGTCCAGAGGCCTAATTCTGATGCAACTCCTCCACAACCAAATGGTACGATGTGGCAGGCAGTCAGAAGGCGGTTGAAGTCTCAGGGAACCTTCTTGAAGTCAACAACAATCCTGGATGTTCATGCAAAGTGTTTCATGCAGGAACAAGAACAGCTCCCTTGGACTTTTCAGGTGTTTCTCCTAAATACAACTGGTTGGATCGGTGCTCACGTCTCAAGCAGATTGTAGGGAATGTAAATTGTTATTAATGAAATGTCACTGTTCAGTTCTGGCGAGAAGCATACGTGGAGGCTGTGATGGACAGGTCGACCTGTGATGTGATGAATACGGAGTCTGGTAGCTGTGAACTCTATCAGTTTCAGCCTCTCCTGGGTCTTTTGTTAAATGTTAGATTCCTTCCTTTTCAGCCGACACAGATCTTTTTTTTAGGCTGCAGAGTCAGATGAGAGTGTGTTCTGTATGTGCTCCACACTAAGGTTGCTGTGATCAGTGTGAAGAGTTCACCAACAGGTTGGGGAGACGGACTTCTGGCTGATTATCCTCACAGTAGTCTCAGTCTGACGCCTGCTTCAGTAGAAGAGCTGAGTGATGTTTACTGAGTCTGTGGAAAAAAAAGAAGAAAAACAGACAATTTATGGTTGAACTTTATTTAAAAAAAATAACCACAATAAGGCACAGTAAGATTACTTTTTATGCATTGTTTATGAAAATAATAAATCTGTCATGAAAATGACACGGTGCATCAAAAAGAAAGGACTGCTGTCGCCCTCTTTCAGCAGCTTCATTGTAATGCACACATTGTTTGTTAGAGATTTTGACAATAAATAAAAACACTTCTCAACAAAACAGCCACCATTTCAAAGACCTGCTTTTTTCCCCTGTGTATTAAAGCATCAGCCAATTTCACATTCTCTATGGTTAATTCAAACCCAAAATGTAGAAGTTTAATGGAAAAAAATATAAATGAATAATTCATGTGTAATATGCCTCGCTGCAAACCATATTTTAAGGTCGGCACGATTACAAATATGTGTTTGCTGCTAGACAAATAAAAGCTCTTCTTTTAAGAGTCTGCACAAATTAAACACTGCTCCTCCCTTAATGTTTTTTTTTTTTTTCTTAAATGGCACCAGAATGTAATGTTAGCCTACAACATTGGCACAATATGGAATACTAAAAGGCACTAGCTAAATAATTATCCCCATCAGAATAGTTATACCATTTAAAATTAAGTGCCTTGTGGAAATATTCCTGAAGGTCAGTGCGGCGGCTGCTGCTGCTGCACATGTGCACCACGGAGCTCCCAAAGGAAAAAAAGCTCCCATTAAGGTGACTTGATGTTTTATATCAGTGTTTTTTATTCACACTAAAGCTTTGGAGCGTTCATTAACCACCGCACGCTAAGTGCCTGCATCTTGTTGCAGAATCAAACCCCCCTGTGAACGCCGGCTTTAGAAATATAAGGTTTTCATCAGGCATCCTGAGTGCACACAGACTGATTCATCAAGGCCATTAACTGCTCGGCTGCTCACATTCGTCTGTTCTCTTCAGCCCAGAGTAAGTAGACTATATGGCCAACTGGGAAATTATCATGCAGTTTGCTTAAACGCAAATAGAGACAAATAAAGTCGTCCCCGTTTTCTTTCTCGGAGAGCACGTGGTGCGGCAGAGAAGAACTTGGTCAACAGGCTGGTGTCCGTGTGTGTGTGTGTTTTAACTGGTCCCACTGCGAAACTCCGTGGTAAATTAGGTGTGCAGTTTGACGTGTGAAGGGATGTAGTTGCTGTGGGAGGAAGTTGGAGACTGGAGAGATAAAATATCACATGAAAAAAAGAAAAAAACTAAAATCCCTACATTGGATCAGAGTCGACTGGTTTATATGAGCAGAGCATAGATAAATTGTGGAATAAATACTGCTGGAAACCAGGCAAATTGGTTAACGTGTCACATTTGTGAATTCTTCTGTGAAGATAAAGGAGTTGGTGAGGTTTAACTGTGGAGAAATGTTTCAAACTCTGATTTTTCTGTGAAGTTCATGAACTTAAAAAAAGTAATCAGAAACTCAAATAAGCTCTAAAGGAAAAGCATTAGAAGAAAGATTTGTGTGTTTTCACCCACTTAACACTAGCCACGTGCTAATCTTCATAAAAGAGACCAGACTCAGAGAGTACTCAACCTTGACACGCACAGTAGCCACAGGAAAGTTTTAAAAACGTCTAACTGTGATTGTAGTGTGGAATTCTACACAAATTACTCAGATTTACATCGCACATCTCTCCTCCAATCATATTCAGCCTTCTAATCCAAGGTTAAGGGAACTGACCTCAGCATTTGACCTTTGTTGCAAAGCTTTTCTGGACGTATTTAGTGTCCTTTAATTGGTCGGTCCTGTACACCTGGTATTTGTCACTCTAAAAAAAAGACTTGCTGACATTTTTATGCACGCCTCAATAATTTGTCGCAATATCTGACACAAAACTGCCTTTAGTCTCTGCACTAATCTTTGCTCACCGCAGACAGAGTGTCTGCCTCCGTAGTACAAGATTTGAATATTGAACATCAGCAGCATCTTCTCTGCTCGCTGTCTGCCTCTGTCCATTAGACATCAATATGTGAAGCTCAATCTGTATTGTGTCACGGCTGTCCTTAAATGTTTTTGTGATGGATTTTCAGAGGCAATCCTGGCTGGCAGGAGTGCGATGGGGAGGAGGAGAAGTGGGAGGAGGAGAAGGAAATAGAGAGCATTAGGGAGCAGGCATCAGAGCAGCTGAAAGCTGGAGCTCCAGCCACTTAGGTGAAGTTATTACCTGAAAATGATGTTTGTCATGGCTTCACAGATGGGTTAGAGACTGGCACACGCAGTTGCTGCCTTCTTTTAGTCACACCTGTGTTTTGATTCATTGTTGCAGCGTTTTCTGCCTCTTTTCAAAGGAAATCTATCCCATATTCATCCAGCATCCAAACGACTGCTGATGGAGATATTTAAATGTAAGATGTGATCCAGTAACGCTGAATAAATCCTTACAGGTTCACACCTGAGGTTTTGTAGTTTTTGAAGCAAACCTGTCATGTACTTTATTCAAAATAAACCAGTAGCATTCAAGGCTAACGCTTTAAGAAGCCATGTAAAAAATTCATATTCCACACCATCAATCGGAATTCTTTTCTTTAACTCGCACCATTTGCGACGAGCAGAAGCTGAAATAGCTCACAGTCCAGGTGACCCATTTAGTGCTGTGGTCAAGAACATTTCTGCCTGACCCTCTACTGTGCATCTTTTTTGTGTACTTGTTATTTTTCTCTACAGCAGAGAGCAGAGAGAACATGTCAACCCTCAAGGGGACAGAAATCACTCTGTTCTTGTGAGGCCGTCAATGACAACAGTCTATCCTGCAGGCAGATTACACTCTGTGACTTTCACTCAGGCTTCTGTGCTGTTAAAATGTTCCTCCTCATTTTTTTCCTACGTCTCTTGTGCAGTATCCAGACTGATAGTGATATTTGCTGTTTCCAGACAAGTCGTACGTTTAGCTTCAGTGGTTGACATCAGGCTGCCTTACTGCAGACCTGTTTATACTTCTACCAAGTGATCGTAATGGCACGTAAAAAAGTTAACTGTGGGCAAAGGCAACCAGGTGACTGCAAACTCGACTTACTTAGAATTCATTCTGTTGTTTGAATAACACTAAATGGACAACAAGTGTCCTTTGATTGACCAGTGCCTTGGTGTTTAAACCCATTATTATTATGGCCAGTGAATGTGCTTTTTACTGCACATAATTCCAGCAAAGCAATAGGAAAAACCAATAGTGCAGTTCTGCAGTGTTACAGATGAAATGACTGAGGAGCATTCCATTTGAAATGAGTCATAATAACAACTAATAATTGTTCAAGAAATTATTGATTTATTTTTTTTACAACTACAGTTGTCTCTCTGTCCTGGCTGTCGTGACCTCAGTGCATCGTGGGTTTTCAATATTTTAAATGTTTTCTTGTATTTTTCGCTCTGTTGTGGGTTTTAAATTTAATTTTTTTTAATTTAAATTTCCAATACCTTTGCAATTAAAAATGATTTTTAGCCAAAAAAAAAATAGTAAAAAAAATAAACTAAAAGACATTTGTAACAGACGTACAGGTCAGTGAAAGAAATGAAATTTGAAAGTTTTGTTTGTTTTTTTTGCCATATTTCACACCCTACGATGTCTCCTAAAGGGTTAATATATATATACGTGAATAATATAATAACCATCGCGTCTCTGACTTCTAAACAGATTTTACACAATGCAGAACTGAACAGTGAACAGATGGAAGAAATAAAGTGCAGTGATGAAGTAAAACGTGATCACAAAGGAAAAGTGTCAAATAATTTATGAACAAATCTGTAGTTGAACCACCTCCTCCTCTTCCTCCTCCTCCTCCTCCTCCTCCTCTCTGGAGCAGATTAAAAAAGTCTTCCTTCCATGGCACCTCTGTTTTCAATGTAAACAGTTGTCCGTTTTGTTTTCCCCAGATTCTCCTCCACATGACCTTTTATCTACATTATCGAAAATTTGAAACCCTACGGTGGGTGATGGCAGGGCGTTGACAAATTTCCACTTCCATCCACCCTTTTGCTCCACCAGGCTGTTCAGAATAATTCACAAAATGGAAAGCAAAGAAAAGTGACAGCTGTGATATTTGGCAGTGTGCTCACTCTGTAGGGAGCGAGGAGCGAGGAGTGAGGAGCGAGGAGCGAGGAGTGAGGAGCGAGGAGTGAGGAGCGAGGAGCTAGGAGTGAGGAGTGAGGAGCTAGGAGTGAGGAGTGAGGAGCTAGGAGCGAGGAGTGAGGAGTGAGGAGCGAGGAGCGAGGAGCGAGGGATTAATAGTTGGGGGAGTGGGGAGCAAAGTCAGGGCACTTTGTAATCATGTGGCTGCCTAACCCCAGTGTTAGTGAGGTTGATGAGCATGTGTCCCTGCTGACACACACACACACACACACACACACTCGGCATGCACTCTGCTGAATATTAATGTGAAGCAGAGTATTCCTCAGAGTCCTATTGTCAGACCGTCCTATTGTTCTCTGCTGGCCTCTGCCTGTGTGTGTGTGTGTGTGTGTGTGTGTGTGTTTGGTATTAATGCGCAGGTTGCTCTTCACTGTGTGCTTGTGCATATTATAGCCATGTCTTCTCTGCTTGTGCACGTTGGCTGCAGCAGAGCAGCAGTTAAAGCGGCAGTGAGGGAGCGGAGGGGTGTGTGTTCCAGTCCCACCATGGCCCATAAAGACAACTGTCCTGAGGACACTTGGACCGACCACCAGGGCCAAACACTGGCAGTTATTTCACCTAGAGGCACTATCTGTAAAATGAACACTCTCATTAAAATCCAGAAGAGCGTGCGTGAAGAAACGTGTGTGTGTGTGTGTGTGTGTGTGTGTGTGTGGAGCAGCTACTCTCACACTTGTTAGTTTAGAGTCGAGTCAAATAATGGCATCACAGACAGTTGTCTTATAATCACAACGTAATGTGCTGTTTATTACGTCTGACTGTGGAAAAGTGCCATGAACCGCATCTGTGTGTGTGTGTGTGTGTGTGTGTGTGTGTGTATTTACACATTCACAGT